GTATTTTTTGATTGAGGGGCTAAGGAATGGAAGGTCTGAGATTATATATGGATTGCATAAAGCTTGCTCGACATCCAGCCATGTGATATCTGAGTTTTGGGGGTGAATCCATTTAAAGATGTATTGTAACTGATTTGCAATTGAGTATATATTGAAGTTGGGTGCAGTAAGTCCACCTTTGGTTTTGGGTTTTTGTAATGTGCTTAATTTAATTCGGGATGGTTTTTTATTCCAGTAAAATCTTGAAATTGTTGAGTCCAGGGCTGAAAACCATGATGAAGTGGGATGGGTTGGGATCATGTGAAATACAATAGATAATTGATTTTGGGGAGGATTATCATTTTAATAGTATTTATTCTGCCAATTAGAGAAAGCAGTAGGTTTGTCCAGCGGGATAAGTTGTCATTTATTGTTTTGAGTAGAGGGGTAAAGTTTAGATTTAACAACTCAGACAGCCTGGAGGAAATCCTCACACCAAGGTAAGTGATGCAGTCTGTTGTGCAGATAGGGATTGGGGGTGAGTAGGTTGCCACATCCCAATGGTCTTTTTGGAGGGGAAGCATTGAAGATTTGTGCCAGTTAATGGAATAGTCTGAAACCTTTGAAAATGTTTCTATTAGATGTATTGTTTGGTTTAGTGAAGATTGTGGGTTTTGTAGGAAAAGGAGTATGTCGTCTGCATATAGACTGATTTTATGGTGATGGTCTGTGTTTGTAAACCAGTGATATTAGGATCCAAGCGGACGGCTGCAGCTAGTGGTTCGATGAAGACAGTGAAGAGAAGGGGAGAGAGTGGACAGCCCTGCCTGGTACATCTGTGAAGGTTAAAGTTCTTTGACATTTGGCCGTTGGTGGTTATTATAGCAGTGGGTGAGGGATATGGGATCTTGACCCAGTTGACAAATGACTCCCCGAAGCCAAACTTATTCAGCGTGGAGAAAAGGAATGACCAGTTGACTTTATCAAAAGCTTTTTCAGCCTCTAACGTGACTATGGTGGCAGGTATTTTATGCTATTGAGTATAAGCTATAATGTTTAAAAGTCTACAAGTATTGCTAGAAGAGAGTCTGCCTTTAATGAAACCTGTTTGATCTGGGTGGATAATTGTCGGGAGGATTTTTTCCAGTCGGTGGGCTGGAGTTTTTGTGATTATTTTAAGATCGACATTCAAGAGTGAAATAGGGCGGTAACTGGAAGGAAGTGTGGGGTCTTCGTTAGGTTTTAGAAGTAATGTTATTATGGCTTGATTCATGTTGGCAGGGAGAATGGAAGTTTGTTTTATCTCTGCAATCAATCTTAGAAACAAGGGGTTTAATATGGACCAGAAGTGTTTGAAAACTCAGCAGGGAAGCCATCAAAACATTCACATTCAAGGAAACCTCATACATTGACCATATAACACTGTAGTGAAATGGAACAGAACTGCAAAATCTCATGAACCTCATGAACCTCAGGCTCAAACTTGTAGCTCCGCCCCTTCTGTCTAAAAGCTCCTCTATGGGTCCTGTACAGTATGATGTCATTGTACCATTATGACATCACACTGAGAGCAGTTTTCTGAATTTAAAAGTTTCACAAGTGAAAGTAAACGTTTTAACTCCTCCTCTTTACTCTACTCTCTCCCCCCCATCTCATTTTCAAATTTGGATAATAAAAAAAATGCTTCTCCTCCCTGTGGTAGCATTATTGGGAGTAACCGGAGGAAAGCATGTTTACCCTTTATACTTGTCTCACCATGCTGTATTTCTCATATATTTTCTACTTTAGATATCATTTCACATTCTAAAACATGAAATGACAAAATAAACAGTCTCATAATCAGTTTTAGTTGCCATAAAATTCAATTCAATTCAATTTATTCTTGAAATCACTACAGGATTCTCAGTTATCTCAGAGGACTGTTGAAATGGCCAACACAGATCAGAGAATCCAACACACAGGTCCATTGGGGGTGAGACCAAATGTCATTATTAACATAATGAGTAATAAACCTGAGTTTGGGCTGGAGAATTCTATGTGGTTGTCCTCTGAGTCCTTCCAAAGCTCTTGACACAGGGGGAGGGTGAGATGAAAAGATTTGAAGCCGTAAATCCAAAGCTTTACCTTTAGCCTCAGCTCCTTCCTCACCACAACAGTCCGATTCGGCGACTGCAAACATCACCATACGTGTCCCCAGCGCCTGCAGCCACTGAGGTTGTAACGACTTAGCAAAGCACTCATGTCCCGCTCAGGGCCTCCAAAGATCACTCTGTTCCTCTTTTGTTGATGCTAATTGATAGACTTGGGCTGTTTCTCATTGAGGAAAATTCTTTCCATTGTACCGGCACATAAACGCAACAACGGTTTGTCCCGGAGGCCATGACTTGCTGCAAAATACTCCAGCACAAAATTGAAATATGTGTGTTGTAATAGGGACACACATATGTATGTTAGTTCCAAACATATGCGATTCAGGTGAAAATAATGCTTATATACAAAACATCCAGAAATGGGCTCAAGACTATTGTGTGGTTACACTGATGCGGCTATTTCTTCATTTTGATGAAGACCATTGACGTAACCATTTGTTCCATAAACGTAACCATAGCCTGGAGCTGATTTCCTCGTACAGGCATTTCTTCCATGGCGTTAACGTCTTCTTCTGCAGGTGGACTTGAAACTGCCTAAACAGGGTCGGTGGACATACTTCCAATCACGGTAGAGTAGATTAGAGTAGAGTAGAGCAGAGCAGAGTACTGAATGTTCTCTCAAATGGGCTCTATAAATAAAAATTACATACTGTGAGAAGAGTAGAGATGTGTAGGGCCAAGTATGGCTGGAAGAACAACACAACTATGTTTGCAAAGGCAAGCTGAAGTTTCCCCTGTGAATTAAGGCAACTAATTGGTCAATCATAACAGGATTTAAAAAGACACTATCACAAAATAAACACCGGGATCAAAGAGAGCACTAAACCGCAACATTTTGAAAACCCAAAATGGTGAGTTTAAGTCAATAGGAGCCAGGGAGAGTAGGAGCAGCTCTTCTGCTTTTTCTATTGAAATGTTTTTGATCAGTTTTGAGACTTAAGATGTTCCCATAACATCTTAACTCCCATAACTCATTTCACATCTATGTGTGAAATGGAATGTAACTCTATCACAGGCCAAAGCACAATACGTCTTGTTTAATTCTCTGGGTGTTGGGTTTTGTGCTGGGAGTAAATCAAGGAAGTGAGAGGAACATTCTGCTGCATGAAACTGGAGCTGGTGAAAACAGACGGAGAGCTTTGCCCGAAGACGAGAGCCGTGACGATCTTTGAGTTTACCGACGCTCAGGCCATAAATGTGAGAGAGACAGGATTTATGATCACTACGCAAACTGATGGATGACTCAAGGGAACGTGAAAACCGATCAATTTGTGTTTGAGGAGTATACAGTAGGTGTAACTGTACGCAGTTGTAAGTAAGTAATTAATATTTATTAACAAACCACCTTTCACAGACCAGAGTCACAAAGCGGTTTACAATTGTGTCTCTCACTCCACACAGAGATGGGAGCGGGGTCGCTAGTACAGGAGATGCATGCCAGACCTATTGTGGATGTTTTTAGTGGTAGGGGAAACTTGAGTCCCCGAAGGAAACCTAGGCAGACACGGGGAGAATGGCCCTGCTCCGACCGGGGTTCAAACCCAGGACCTTCTTACTGAAAAGAGTGCTATCTACTCAGCCACCATGCCGCCTGACGTATGTCAGCCTGGGATGGGAGCGTGGAGCACTCCTTCACTGCAGCAGATCAGTAAAGTTATCTCCAGCTAAATTCAAACAAAACTGAATTTATTGTCTTTGGACCCAGAAACAAAGAGAATGTCATCTGTCATAAAAGTGTCTTATTGTCTCAAAAGCAGAATTGAAGATTCTTCTCCAGAGTCTCCAGTCGGTAAGAGCATTGTACCAGTCTGTGCTCCTCCAACGTGCTGAAAAACCGCAGTATTCAAAATGCTGCAGCTTCAGTCGTGTCAAGAACCAGGAAACACATCACAATCTCAGGTCTCTGCACTGGCTTCCTGTAGCCCAGAGAACAGACTAAGCTCTGCAAAAGTCTCTCCATGGCCTTGCACCAAAGTACATCTGTGACATGTTAGTACCATGAACTAACTCTGACTCTGTGGAGCACAGGGACTGGCCTCCTGCTGGGACTCTGAAGAGCACAGGGACTGGCCTCCTGCTAGGGCCCAAAGTCAGGAGTAAATATGGGGCGGCAGCTTTTCACATGTATAGTGCAAACATCTGGCTCAGTCTACGCTACTATGTTCTACTGGTTGCGTTTCCATTGTACTTTAGTATCTGGTACTGTATGCTAGCAACCCACCCACGACAAACCAGTATCCATGGAAATTCCTTTATAGTCCAACAGCATTCTGGCCAGTCTTTGTCTGAATAGAACCAGTAGAGTAGAATGGGCTATATGCACGGCGTGATGTCATTTCCTTACATTTTGAACAGCTCATTTACTTCCTGTCTGTGCTAACGCTATGGCATCGTGGTGTGTTGTAGTGATGTTTTGTTGTGACGTTTTTTAGTGATTAGATCGATACATTCAGCTTTAAGACTGACCCAAAAGTGTCGACATGCTTTCTCTCTGAGGAAAAGCTTTCACTATAGCAACTCAGAGAGATTCGGTAACTTTACAAAAGCACAATGACAGCACAACAAACGACCACTGCTGTGTCCTTAAAATGCCCAGCATCCTAAGAGTTTATTTACTGCTTGAGCATTTTTCAGGAAACTTGTGTAAATATCTGGTGAACTCCGGCGAAACTCAAGCTGATCCTTGCGCACCAGAAGTCAAGTAACGTTTTAACTAAAACGCGGAAGTGGTACGTGCATAGAGCCCATAGAGAACAGTAGAGTAGAGTGGAGCCAAGTAGGGCTGGAGGAAACTGACTTTGACACCCCTGGGAGTATGACAGCCCTGGGTTGGAAAAATATAATTGATGTGCATCATAATACTCATGTTACCTGGAAGCCCAACAGGATGCAGAGGTACCAGGGCGGCCGGTCGTTTAGGGCGTAGACCAGGTCCACCCCCGCGTCCTCGCTCTCCTCACGCTGCACCTTGTGTGGCTCCAGCTGCGGCTCTCCGTCACTGTCCTTGTCCTGCAGCAGAACGCCATGCATCACACCGTTAGCCTTAGAAACCACGCTACCTCCATCACACTTCAAACATAGACAAACATTTACCTGTGTGATTTGTCCGCCGTGCACAAACAACCGCGTAACGGCCTGTACACTCTCGGCTTTCAAAGCAAAATACAGTTCTAGATTGGGGGAAGGGGTGCGTGTTTGGAGAGGAGTGGGAGGTTTGGGGAGAATGCTTTTATCCCAGGTTCAGGGGGTGATTATGGGTGAGTTATGGTAGACGGGATCTCGCGGCGCGGTGGTCCCGTATGCGCTATGCCGGCGGCGCATCCATCAGGAGCGTGTTTGGGGAGCTTGATGGACGCGTCTGAACCGGACTGTTACATCTACATCAGGTTTGAGTTCCCACAATCCCGTTTTTCAAATGATCCATCCTGATATAACCCTGACTTTAACAAGCCCCGTGCCACCAGCCATACTCTATGAGAGAGACCAGAGAGAGAGAGACCAGAAAGAGACCAGAGAGACTAGGGAGAGACCAGAGAGAGAGACCAGAGTGAGACCAGAAAGTTTTGGCAAATTCTCAAAACAGAGATTTCCATTCTTGTGAATGCCTCTCGCTCCACACAGTGATAGGAGCGAGGACGCCTCCAGGAAGAGCATGCCAGACCTGTTGTACCCTCTCCTCCCTCCCCTCACCTCTCTCACATTTTATCCCTCTAATCAACTCTTTCCTCTCTTTGCTCCCCTCTCCTCTTCTCATCCCTCTCCTCCTCCCTCGCCTCCCTCTCTCTCTGAGGCATATAAAGCACCTCCTCAAATCTCCAAGGACCAGTGAAATCCTCTGACCCGAAACACAAGGCCATTACTTCAAAGTTTTCTGCTTTGAACACAGAGCAGTGGAAAAATATTCTGAGACTCTTGAATCAAACCGTGACGTCTGCTCTCGTTGCGCTGGTACCCTTCAGCAAGACACACCAGGCTACTCCACAAAGTCAGGAATCACAAATATTCAGAATTGTTTGTGTTCATTTCCTTCTTTAAGAGAGACAAGACAAGAGCTTTGGTGTGTGCAGTGCACACTGGGGAAGTTTTGCACAGTTTTTCCATGTGGTTTTACTGCAAATGGTTCCACGCTTTTACTGGAATGTCAAAGAAAACATGACAACTAACTTACTACATTAGTAGTGATGTGGAGGGGTTCGAATCTCGGTCAGACGGGGCCTTTCATGTGGAGTTTTCATGTGTCTGTGTAAGTTTCTTTATATATATAAATAACTACTTTACTTACAATAGAACCCAGGTTCTCAAACTCGGGACGTGGATATTATGACATAGTTCCAGTGTATGCGGTTTGAAAGTTACGCACCCAAGCTTTAACCAGCGTGTGTGATGTTGACAATCGTTCAGTCTGACTCACTTTTCAGCTCTGATCTCTCGAACCAGTCTTCAGTCTTTAGTCCATGCGGCCTTTGAGCCGAGAGACACCGGATCTGTCTCATGAGAGCTCACATCAGTAAAGGCCCAATGACTCACCCCTGGAGGAGGCCCCCGAACGCCACGTTACAAAGGACTGAACAAAGAGCATCCACACGGGTTTGTGGATGAGACAATAGCACTGACCATGACTGGATCAATGAGTCTTATCATATCGATCTTTTGAATGAGACATCAAAATGTTCTATTCTCAGCTTTTGTCCAGATCATAGTAGACTTATCTCACTGTTAGAGTTAGTCAGAGATGGACGTCCGAGTCTCTGACCAGGGTCCAAGTCTAGTCCTTGTCCCTGAGTCAAGGAGTTTTCACATGCATGTATTTTTAGCTTCTGTAAAATGAGCTTTTTTAGACAGAAAAGTGAACAAGAGTGGCCCACCCACTCTCAGCCAATCCGTTCTTTCTTACTAGATAACGTGTTTCCTCATGCAATGAAGGCATCATTTTGTGGTCAGAGTACACTTAGCTTTTTGGAGGAAAATGAATCTCAATCCTCTGGAAAAAAATTATAATTTTAATGAAATAATTTACTTACATTAATTTACTACATGGATATCAAATGTTAGTAATATCGTCACTATCTTACATTTCTTTAATTAATTGCTTCAGACGCAAATTACCTATACCTGTCTTATTATAGAGTTTGTGAAATCCCAACAAAATAGTATTAATATAAAATCAAAACACTTACGATTAACATTCAACCGGAACACAACGTAAACCTGTAGTTCCAAACTTTTTTGTCATCACTTTTTCTCCCAAGAGGGAGCGTTTTGTGAAAGTGAAAATTTGTGAACAATACACACCGCAACAAATTGTCTTCTTACACAAAAGAAAACACATTATTTTGTGTAAGAAAAAGACCTGCAAGTCACTATTGGACTCTTTGAGCTGAGAGCTGATTGGCTGAGTGAGAATGGTCCTCTTTTTCACTTTTCTACCTGAAAAGGCTGACCTGAAGATGTGACCATGAGGCCCAAAATACATGCAAATTGTTTAAACTGTTTAAGAGCCAGGAAACAGTTATAAAATCTTTAACGTTTCAACTTCATCTTTATATTTGTTGGTTTGAAAGTTACGTACCCAGGCTCTAAAGAGTCTATGCTCTGAACGCCAGGGATAAAAACAGGACAACACCGCTCTCTAGTGGTTGAGAACACGCACTGCATAGCTCTCTGTCGGGGCGGTAGAGTCTATACGACCGAAAGGGACGTTGACTTTTTAGTAGTAGCAGTAGTAGCAACTCTGATCTGTGTTGGTGATTTATATGGTTTTGTTACGTCCTCTGAGATGACTTCTGTTGTGATTTAGGGCTATACAAGAATAAATTGTATTGTATGGTAATTGTATGGTAGCAGTAATAGTAGTAATATTAGTAGTAGTAGCAGTAACAGTAGTCAAATGCACTATAGTGGTTTGAAAGTCAGGGACCCCAGCTTTTATTGGCAATATTTGTAAAGAATGCAATAATGGCTAATAGTGTAACATGTTTGACAAACATTTTGTATTTTTAATAAAGAAACATAGATTTTATTTTATGTTAGTTTTTAAATAATTTATTGTTTTATTTTTTTCTGCTCTGTCCTGTCTCAGCTCGTCACTCGTCTGCTTTCTTCAAAACCGACAGCGACAGGACGTTAGCCCCATTTCTATGCACAATTTAAAACCTTATCGACTCTTCCTCCTCAGAAACAGGGAGCTTCTGTTGGAGAATAAAACACAGCCAATTTTTGAAACTTTAGAACAAAATGACTTCCTTCCCCAAAGACAGATCAGACGAGCAGAGCACATTCCACACGAGAGCGAAATAAACAGAAAAGAAAGATTTGTCACTAACAACGGGACAATCATAAGAAAACATAACAGACTGTTTTAAGATGATAAAAGATCAACTTTTATTAGTCCTTAAGTGGGGACATTTGTAGCGCACATCACAGCAGAATAAAAGGAGAAATTAGAGTATTCAGATTAATTTTGTCGAGGTGACAACGGGAATAAGCCAACACTGCCGTCAAGTGGTGGAAGTGAGACCTTGATCAAGACTTCAAAGATTCAAGAATTTTTTTTGCAATTTGCTGTAAAACCTTGGAATAACTGTGCAAGACTACCCCAGCGTGCACCGGATTGTACTCGCCAGAGTTCTTACCACGGCGCCATGATCAACATATAAATTATAGATAACATCACAGCACGGACAAGTTTGGAGCCAATAACTGGACTGTCTGCTCTGCCAGAAATATGGAGATTATTTTGGGGCCAGTTTTGTGAACGTATCCATAACATTTTGAAAAAGAATCATGACAATTTAAAAAGCTTCTCATGAATGCATCCCAATGCAAAGAACATGTGTGACAACATATTCTTAAAACACATTTCTGCCTTATTTTGGCTCAGTATTTAATCAGCTTTATGGCCATTGACATGTTGTGTCTCACTGGCTGGGTTGAACCATGTGAGCCCAATGACACCCAGTCGAGATGTGTAAAAAAAAAAAAGAATCTTCAGTGGGTGGAAAGAAGTAGTCATAGACCTAGCATGCACCAGAGATGCACGTCTCTGACTCTCTCTGTCTCTTTTCAGGTCTCGATCTCTTTCTTTCTCTGGTTACTCTCTATAGGGTTTCTCTCTCTCTCTCTCCCTGCCTCTGTGGTCTCTCACTCTTGTGTCTGGTGTTTCTGCTGTCTGGTCTCTCTCCCTCTGGTGTCTGCTCTCTCTCCATTCTTTCTCTCTAGTTTCTCTCTGGTTTTTCTCTCTGGTCTCTCTCTTGATCGCCCTCCCTCCTCCTCACATGTTATGTTCCGCCCACATATTTATCACATGTCCTTCCGTTATCGCATCTGTCTGCTGTTTGTTTGGCTTCTTCTGAGTCCAGCTGTGACCTCCCTCACCCCCTGCTGTCCGCCGCACAACACCACAACTCAGCTGGACACACACTGGACTGAAAGCTGGGGTACCTGACTTTCATGTGTAAGAATGAGCCCTGTGAGTCACTAATTGCCTCACTGTTTGTGACTTAAATTGTATTACATTTTGTGGGGTTTTAAATATCTAAAGCCTCAGTCCTGGATCTACAGTTCAGCTTCAGTCTATTAAAACAAAAGTATTACCCATAAATAAGTTATAGTAATTAATCTATTTAATCAAGTTTTTTTTCTCCTCCCTTGTCTTCTCTCTTGCTTCTCTGCTCCTCTTCTTCTTCTTTTTTTTTAAATAAGCTTTATAAAAACTATCTTCTTTCTCCCTCTGGTGGCAGCATCAGGAGTTACAGGCAGAATGAAATGTTCACCTTTCATACTTTTTCACATTCTGAAACATGAAAGGACGAAGTCTCATAGTCAGTTTTTATGTGCAAAAATACGATGTCTTTTAGAGTTGTTTATTATTTATCTAAGAGTTAATTATTTCTGCAGTCTCATCTCATGTGAGTTTCCCTCTCACTGTAATCCGACATTAACACGCATTTGTTTCGCTCACGCTGCATTCCACACAGACTTAAGCTTGAGACTCACTGTACTAAATATTATTACTGTGTTTCCAAACAAAC